CAAGCATATTTATACTTCTTGAAGTATTACAAATAACATGACTTTTTACATGATTTTGTCCAATAAAATAAAATAAATAAAATAGAATGGTAAATGATGACTAATTGACAATTACTAAAGTTAAATGTCAAAAATGTGTCATTGATGATGTCATGATTAAATGATACCTGATGAAAAGTTTTTGTCATAATTAACAAGATTAAAATTTCGGATGCAAAATGAGCATGTGTTACATCAAAAAAAATTTTTTTTTAATAAATTAATTTCATTTGTTAATATTAATTAATAATATTTTTTTTAGACTGTTTTAGTAAAAGATTTAATCTTCTGCATTCAGTCACAACATCTTTATTCACCTTCAGGCAATCAAAATCAAATGAAAGGATGTCCAACTGGTCCCAAGAAGGAGCCCTGCTCATCACCACATATTTTCATCAATCATTAGAGTCACATGTGACAATGTCATGCCTAAGGTTTCTGGTCCAAACTGTTTTCTCAAAGCCCAAACTAGTTTGGGCAATTTGGACTTCTCGACATTTTTTATTAAGCATGAACATTAAAATACTATATGAATCAACTTGTTTTAACTTAAACAATTTTAAAATAATTTCACCCAATTTTGGCTAATAACAAAAAGTAGTTTGGGCTCATAAAAAAAAATTTTTTGCCCAAAGTATTTGGGCAATTTCGGCTACTAATAGAAGTAGTTTCAGCCAGAAACCTTAGTCATGCCTTGGGTCTTGGCAAATGCATTCTGCGATGGGAATTGGCACTTCAAGGCATGTGTATCATTTATTTCAAAATTTATAGTGATTTTTTGGACATTCATTTTAATAATGTTACCATTAGTTGGAATGAATTCTTCTTTTCAATTATCTTTATCTATTTTTATTTCTTCATCAGTTGGCTCATAATATTTTGAAACTACTTCAGCAATGTTATTTTCAAGGTTTTTATAATCCTTTCAATTCTTTCTTTTCCTTAGTTAATTTATACTTCTACTAAGTTTTCTTTTTGTAATCTCAATTTTGTAATTATTAAATTATCAATTATACCATCTTTATATTCATCTGTTATTAGACATTTATTCTTAATCAACTCCACTAACGTTTCTTCTAGTTCTTCTTTAATTGTATTAATTCTTGATTATTTTCAGGTGCTGGAATTCCTTTTACTACAAAATATATTATTTTAATAAAATTTTAAATTGGTTTTGGACAAGTAATATCTTTAAATTCATCCCTTAAAAATGGGAAAATATTATTATAAAGATATTCTTGCCTTCTATAATCCAGAGGAGGTGGTGTTAACACTAAAATAGATAAAGATTTAATTTCTTCAAAAATATCTGCTTTCTTGGTTTTCAATAAATTGTACTCAACAAAAGATCCATTAGCAACTTCTTGAACCTTCACTGCACCAAAATTAGATGCTTCAAAAAGAAAATGATGATATTTTTGTAAACCATTTAATTTTTTAAAATAAACACCCAAAATAGCTTTAAGATCTAAATACTGAAAACCTTTTCCACCTTCTTAACATTGAGTTTTATTCAATCCTGCTGGACTAGATCTTTTGATGACTTCTACAACATGGCCCACACAATCTACTCTTGTTCTTCTATGGAGTTTTTAATCAAGCCAAAACTACCATCACATTTTAATTTGGTATGTCCAGCAATCATGAAATTCAATTCAACACTTTCATAATAACCACAAATTACCAAGTATGAATAAAACCAAATTGTTACATTATTTTTATTTTGACCTCCAGCATTATCACAAGTAATCTTTAAATGCTTTTCACCTTTATTCAATTTCTTAATTCCATCAAAATTCATACTTGGTGTGCCATTTGGGCCTTTCCCTATAATTTCATCTTCATTAAGAACATAATTAATTTGTTCCCTCACTGCTTCATCTTGAATATCAAATAAATGAACTTTACATGGATTAAGGTAATAATATTTTACTTACTTGTTGATCAGAATGGGGCACATGAACATTTTGGGCTCAATCATAACTATAATGAGCAGTAGCATCAATACTGCAATACTGTGTTTTGCCTTGGGAATAATTTTGATCAACCAGTTTTCTTTGCTCTTCTGCTAATTTGGTATTTTTATTATAATAATTTCTTTCTAATTTGGCCTTGGACAGATGTACTTAAATCTTTTAAGTAAATCTTTGGCTTCTTCCTCCTGTTGAGAATTGTAATGTAAACCATCTCTAAAATGTTGACAAGTATCACACAAGTTAGTCCTTGGACTCATAATTTGAATTTCTGGTGTCGATTGATGTCATAACTTTCTGAATGAATCATATTTTAAAGATTTCAATTTGCTGTTTTCTTCCAGACCAGCTAGAAAATCTCTATGTACTGATTTATAACCCATTTCAGCTGGTAGAAAGATAACTGATTGCATTATTCTATTGTTACTACTTCCTGGGCTTGGTAAACCATGAACTTTGGCATAATTCTCTAGAAAATTATTTACTACTTCAGCAACATTTTTGCAAATCATCATTTTAGTTTTCCATTGAGGCATCTTTTTAATATTACCATGAACTCTTGCTAGAAGACCATCATTTATCAGACGATTTTTGATATTTTCAAAGTAAGTTCTACCAATTCCTAGCATATTGAGATAAGTTTCTTGACAAAAGAGTGTATTGTGATCTCAGTGATAGAAGTTCTTTTATTAGATCTATTTTTCTTTTTAAGACATCTGCTGGTGCTTATTGATCCACCATCCATTGCTTTAGTCTGAGCCATTAAAAATATATCTTGTACTGGTTTAGAAAGAGCTTGAAAAGATTCTCTTAATTCTGCAAATTGTTCCTTGGAAATTCTTGAAGAACAGCCACAATTACATCCTTTTCTAAAAAATCAATTGCTTTTTCATATTCATTAGAACCATTATTAATTTTCATATATCTATAATCCTATATATAATTTTATGTTCACTTTGTAAGTTTTTTAAAATTGAAAAGATGGATTGTAGGGGAAATCCTTTTTCCTTAGATCAAATACAAGAGACAAGTAGTGTTAATTTATTAATACAAGTTACTCTTTATTAGTTTGGAAAGCTTATCTTTTCATACACATAATATTACATTGATTAAAATAAATAAATAAATTATTATCATAAATGTAATTTAAATTTGGATGCATTACTATTATGTGAAGTCAATTTCATACCACAACACATTATCCAAGATAAAAAAAATTAAAGATGACATGAACAAGAAAAACTGTTATATGGATAGAAATCATTCAAAGAACAAAATATTGAAAAGGAAAACAATTAATAAAATATTTTTTATTTTCATTAACAATTTAATAAAAATTGTTTCTATATTAAATAATTATGTATTAACTTTAATCCTTTCCTTGATGTGTACATGTTTATTACAGCATTCATAACATTTACAAAAAATTAAATAATAATTAATACCAAGGCCATGCAGAAATGAAAACTTTTTAAGGAACCTGATTTTTCACCTCCCAATTATATAGTTCCTTGAAAAACCATGAATAATAAATCTGATGATGATTACAGGTGTCAGATTTAATAAAAACTTTCCTATCGCAAGCATCCAAGTTAGTGCTTTCACACACCCTCATAATTGTAGAATTTCTTCCACAAGTGAAGGCCACCCACATGTTGGAAGGCTTTGGACAAAACTTTTCTTATCTTTTTCTCAGACCAGGCTTGGCTGTTACCATATGAGCATTGATCGTTGACAAGAGTTGGCATCTGTGTGATATACCTCTCTAGAATAAAGTTTGTATCTGCAACTTGGGAGGTTGCAGCCTGGAAGTTGCTGTTTTGGATTTTACCTGATTCCGAGTTTTGAGTCCTGGGTTACTGTCTTGTTGGTGGCATGCCTGCTCACCAACAACCCTACCCCATTGAAATAACAAATTCAGTTGTCAAACAAAAAATTTGGAGAAACAGAACATTTATGAAAATGATTAATTAATGCATAACCAAACAAAACCTGAACCATTTTATTTACTTACATCAGAGCCCAAATGCATTTCAGGGCCACCAACCCTGCTCTGAATTGCAACCTCCTGTGCTTGAAATGAGCTGCAGATTCTTTTAATATTCCTCCAGAGTTGCAACTTCTTGGTCACAGAGCATCTTTAGAGGTAGGATCGTTGCAGGCGACTTTTTGGCTAACATGTCAGCCTTCTCTGGCCTGGGTGCTGTGAGGGAAGATTATCAAAGGTGTCATTGACGATTGATGCAATCTCAGTAAATTCCAGAGCCTTACACCCCTCCCTGGAATTCTCTAGCATCATTGTATCATCAGGGGCCTTGCAGTCAGATTAGCCTTGTGTACACGAGGAACGTAAGAGAATGACTGTAATGTGCTCAAGGTAACGTGCGTGCTTTTACGTCTGTAAATTTCTGAAACCAAATGTTCATATCAAATGTTTCTTCTGAAATTCAGGTGTGCTGCCTTGGCATCTTGTAATTATAATAATATTAATGTTATTATTAACATTGATTACGAAAAGCAAAATACCAATTTTTTACATCTTGATGAGAATCTTATAATTACCCAGCAAGATCTGCTCCGCGTTTTGATTTAAAAGACATATCAATGCAAATTAAAAAAAAAGTTACCTCTGGATGGTTATTAACACATCTTAGTACCAAACCATATTGAATAACAACACTCGTGTTTTGTTTTTCCAAAAAATAAAATCGATCACGTCAACAAAAAAAAACAGGGGGGGGGGCATAAATAATTAGACGCGTTGTAACGTCAAAAAACAAGAAGAAAAAAAAGTAGATGAATTGATCGAGAAAGAAAGAAATGGGCAAGTGTTGTTTATCGTAAGAATGGTGGTGGTGGTTATTGTCACCACTCGTCACTCTAGTTATTTAAAAAGAATGGTTGCGATGATTATGATGCATTACAACTTCATTCTATATATATAGAAAATTTACTTAACACAACTTCTACAAAAATTCTTATAAAAAAAACTTCATATATATATATATATATATAGTTCAAATAAAAATTATATAAATTTATGTAATGTTCATTCTTTAATTAACTAAAATTTTTTTTTCAATTCTAAACAACTAATAAACAAAAGGAAAAGCGAAAGGGAAGAGAGAATTCATCAGTCGAGTAAGCATTGAGAATGTTTGAAAAATTCTATAATAGGGAATATATTACCGAACCATCAATTTCAGTTACAGACCTCAGGAAAATTCAAACAGCTATTTTAAATGTAATTAAACATAAAATACTTAACAAGAGCACTATTTTTTATTAATCCTGATTAATATTTAATTAAATAAGCTTTATATGTTTGAAGTTGATCGGGTAGTTCATATCATCAGCAATTCAATCGATATATTATAAAGATATCTGGAAGAATCAAAGAAATATTTATAATTTTTGAGAACAGACAAATTGATTGTAGAAGTTAAACTGGGTTTTAAGGGAAAAAAGGCTATAGAAAGCACAGAATGATCTTTTATAGAAAATTACCTTGATAATGAAACATTTATACCAATACCTTCCAATATATCAGATACAAACTAACAATCATCATTACAATCATTATTGATATTTATGTATGCTTCGACTTTCTTTTTTTTTTTCTTTTGCTTTGATCATTTATAAGTTTTAGTATGAATAAAACTTTATTAAATACTCATATAACTCCAGCAAAAGAATTTCAAACTCACACCAAATTACATTGACAATAAAATCGATATCAATGAAAATTCATGGTGTGATGACTTGATTACACCGGTTTTAAATTTTTTGTTCTATAATATAAATGACAATATTGTAAGAATTAGGTAAATGTGAAAGGAACAGATTATTTAGAATAATGAGACAACAAAAAAATTTTTTTTTCTATTTTAGAAATCACAAGCAACAAAAAATAGAAATAGCCAACGGGCCCAATTAGGTACCCTGATTATCTATGGTACATGTGGGAGACAAAAGAAAAATATCATTTTGAATTTTTTTATGTTGAAGTTTCATATGGACCAAGAGCACGAGTACCACAGCTTATCCAACATGTTAATGAAGATAGAATACGGTTAGGAAAACTAGCTAAAGAGTCTTGGAACCATATGCTTCATATTTACAGTAAGCACACTTTTTTTTTATTTAAAACAATAGTTATGATTAAAATCATTTTATTGAATTTTTCCCTATAATTAAAGAAACGAAGTTATTAGTCTTTGTAATTGATCGTTCACATAAACTATTTTCTACAATGAAGAAAATAATGAAAATTGATCTCCCAACCAACAATAATTCAGAAACAGTATTAGAAATGATTCAAGGCTTATTGTATCAACAAAATTAATTCACGTGAGAAATGTCGGTTAAAATTTTTGTATTAAAAATATTATTATTTAATTAATTTAATTTGAGATTTTTTTAAAAATAAAAATTTCCTTTTTACCAGGATTCATTATATCAACAGAGGAATAGTGTAGAATTAAATGTGTGCAAGACTACGGTGTTCCCCAAGACAGAAAAGAGTTTTTTTCCCTTTTATATTTTTTTACTAAGATACAAATACATATATAAGAACAAACTATGATTTTTATGCAATCAAAGTAACATTTATTTCCTTTTTTTTATTTCTCTGGGTCAAGATCATCAAAATTTTAATAAATTGAGAACAAACTTTTTATTCATTCTCATTTTAATGTTAATTATTAATATTATTGGAATTAACTTCTGAATTTTGTGAATATTCTTGTCTATTTTTATAAGTATATATTTTTACATATCCATCTATAACAGAAAATAATATTAACAAATGAACAAAATTTTAATTATTAAATGTCAATTAAAAAAAAATATATAAAAAAAAACTTGCCATCACCACATGTAAATAACAAAGGTTTCCAAGGATGAAATAAAACATCTCTAATTTCATACCCTTTAATAAAGTAAATAATTAAAGATAGTGTACATGTAAGAATAAGAAATTATCAAGTTATCATAAATTATATATATATCTACATAATGTTAATAAATAAATTATAATAAATAAATAAAAATCATCATACTTTCATGATCTTGCAGTATTCCGGAAACTTTACCAGTTCTTAAATTGAATATATACACCTCTCCATTCATAGTAGGTGCAGCAACATAACGACCATTTGATGAAATTTTTACAAGCCAAGAATTAGATTTATAACTATAAATCATTTGTCAAATATATATAAAAATAAATATAAACTTATATATTATTATTTTTACTAACAACAGTAACAAAAAAAACAATTAACAATTAAAACCCACTTTTTATGTTGGTATTCTCTTACTTCTTTTAATTCAAATTTACCACCTTTTTTGGTTGGATATATCAACTTAAATAATTTACAAACATTCTGTCGTGATGCTTAAATAAAAACAAAATAAATTAAAAAAAATGTATATTTTTTTTGTGATTAATAAATAAATAAGTTGCCAACTACCTATTAGAGAACCATTAAGATCTAACAATTCAACACCACGAGTCACATAATAGGCGGTTTGAGGTGGCAGTGATCTTTTTTTAGCCTTTTTACTAGACTCCACCAGTATTACATCATCATCTACTTTTTCTTCCATAGGTTCAACAGGATTAATAAATTTTCCACAATCACAGTACTGAGTATACATACTATCAAAAGATTGCACGCACTGAACAAATAAACCAAACACCCAAGTATTTTGATTTTAGACAAATAATATAATTATAAAAAATAATTTTATACATTTTAATTTTAATCAATTAATTAATTACCTGAGCTGCTTCAAAATCATATAATCTAACAGTGTCATCTGTAGCAGCCAAGAAATATTTATTTCCAGTGTTAGGAACAAATGAAACAGTAAATGCCATACAAGTAATCCCATCCGCCATATGTTTTTTATCAATGAGAGTGCTTATATGTTCATTTAGAATTCAAAAAGATTAATATGTATTTATATTTAAACTTTAATTAAGAAAAAACTAACACTTACATCCAGTCATCTTCCATTTTCCATTTGATAATATAGCCATCTTGACTACTGGTTATATAATAAGGTTCTCCATTGAACATAAGAGTCTTAATACACAATATTTCTTCGGCATGACCTTCAAGTTTGCCAATACATTTTCCTGTGATTACATCAAATATCTTGTAAAATTTTATAAAATTTTATTAAATTGTAAATATCTAATTAAAATAAATCATTATATATGATTAAATAAAGCTAACCTTTAAAGGACAAGGTAAAATATGATTATCTTCGTCAGCGGGTGACCACTTGTGACGATCTTTCACTTTTCCTCCAACAACAATATGTGTTTGACTTGGAATAAATCTTCCAACATAATATTCATCAATTTGCTTTTCCTGAATATAAATGTATAAAGTTTTTAAAAGAAAATAATGATCAAATAATGATTTCTATTTAAATCAGACGCAGAAAATTAAACCTGTAAAAGTTATTTAATACCTCTGTATCTATTAATTTTTGGAGCATTTGAAAATCATTTACATCCCATATTCTCACACAACCAATATTACAAAATGTGACAAGCATTGTGCCATCAGGTGAAAGGATCATTCCAGTAATTGGACCTTTAAATAAAATTAACAATAGCAATATAATTATTCATCTTTCTAAATAAAAAAAAAAAGTAGAAATAAATCAACAACTTTTATTACCTTGATCTTGTACACCTGCTTTAATTAATTCGAGCGGATATTGCTCGTTAATATAATTGACCATTCCATAGCCACTTTCAGCATTAAATTCCCAGTACCGATCGGGAAATTCATTTGCAAGCTCTTTTACAAGAATTGGATCATACGGCTCTAATTTTACCTCCTAAATGTAAAGAATGATAGGTAATAGATCAACGTGTCAATATTTTTAAATCAATTTAACAATATTAAAAGAACCAAATTTCATACTTTTTCTTCCTCTACCTTCTTTCTCTTTTTAGATTTAGATGCCTTGGATTTTTTTTTATTTTCCTTACTAGATTCATTATTCATTGTTTGTTCAGATTCATAATCTGATTTTACCTTTCCCTTATTATTACTACTACTACTTGATCTTGATTTTCCTTTGTTTGATGGTTTTGTTTTCACCTTGCTTTTACCCTTATTAGATACATTAGTTGTAGTGTCTGTTGTAGTAGAAGGATCTTCGTCATCACCGTCATCACCGTCATCATCACTATCAGCATTACTACACATTTTACCTCTTCTGGTTCTTTTTAAGGTGGGAGAGGAGGTGAGAGTTGAACTTTTGGAATTAGTCGTTCTTTCTGGTTTAGATTTTTTGGTAGTTACGTCAATTGTTTTTTTGATTTTATTATTGGACTTTTCCGAGTAATCAGCGGCTTCTCTTGCTCTACGTGATAAAGTGGAAGCTCGAAGTCTCAACGTAAACTCGGGCTATATTTATTAATTTAAACCATTTTTTTAACATGCTTTTAATATTAAAAAAATCAATTTTTTTGATGTTTACACTTTTTATAATTATAAACATTATCTGAAAATTCCACTCATTTTCATTTTTAATGTAAATGTATAAATGTCAAGTGTTCTCTTTAATAAAGAATTTTCTCCTTACAGTTTGTTTCGCAGTCATGTTTATAAAGTCACCAAATTTGTAGTCACTAAAGTAAAGAATTAATTATTTTGTTTGAAAACTGTAAATTTTATATATGAATGGTTTTTAACGCGAAAAAAAAAGTTTACAAATTCATATAAAATTCTATGGGGATCTTTGGTTAAAACTTTTTATTGTTACGCGTAAAGTACCAAATTGGTAATGTCAAAAAAAAAAAAAATGATTGCATAAAACATGGATTTAAAGTCTTAAAATGGGCAAACAAAAATATTATTCGAGTTATTAAATTCTAATACTAAAAATAGACTTTTATATAATAATGAGAAACAGAATTATTATATAAAGAAATTCATCATTCATTCGAACATGCAAGCCTTTTCATAATTAAAGAATTAAATGCTCAAATCTTGATCCACTCGCATAACTAGTATATATTTAATTTTTTTTTCTACTTATTTATGGCTTTCTTGAACTGCTAATTGTGAAATTAATTGAAATGACTAAACAATAATGTTAACATGATGATGTTATTGAGAGTTTTAGAATCAGGAATTGATAAATTGAGTGATATTATTATATTAATTCATTCTTAGCCTTGATGGTTTTTTCTTTACTATCTATATGACCATATCGCCACTAACAGCAATGGCGTGTTTCCATTGAACTTGTAATAATAACAACACTTTCTGAAACCACTTTTCCAATACATCAATGTTAAAGTAGCACAAAGGCAAAGATCAGAAACCTAAATAATATGTATATACTGTAGATAGGTAGATAGTCCTTTCAGATTAATGCTACGTGGAAATGACATCGTGCAAGCTAAACAATAAAAAAAATCCATAAATTAATTCAATAGATACAAACTTCTTAAACTAAAATTTATATAATTATAATTATAACGCCATGACGATGATGATGTTTATTTGTTGAAAAAACGCATCATTTTACGAGTTGAATCGAATAGAAAAATTATCTTTGTTTATTGCATCAGTAATTATCAGTAATTGTAGTAGAGTAATAAGGCGCATTATTTAGACCATTAATATTTGATGATGTTCCGCTGTAATCTTTAAAGAAAAAAATTATTATTAATCATTTTTTTTGTTGTATAAACTGTTGTTGTTCTTCTTGTTCTAGTCATACCTGAATTTGTGTTGTTAAGAGTGCAGTTTCTGCTGTTTCTGCTGTTATATTTACAGTAAGAGTTGAAGTAGTCGTTGGATTAGGAAATAAAATTTTTTTTTCAAAACAAGTAATTGTATTCTATTTATACACATGTTTGGTTGATCATCATTTAACACATCACATGGCATTGGCAACAAAGATACTTTTTGTAATTGTTAAAATTATGCGATCGCGTAAGATTCGCGTTTAAAATTAAATAATTTATACTCTTCTTCCAAAAAAAAATTCCACTTTAGTTGTACAATCTATCTTTTTATATTCAACGCGCGTACATATTTATATAAATAAATGTGCGTGTGGTGACAGTTAGTTTCTGTATATTTTTTCATTTTTTTCCACCCTGGTCTTCTACCTCTGCTTGATAACACACGTCATTTAATAAATAAATATTTTCTCTTTGAATAAAATAAATTCTTATAATATATATATATATGTGTATGTATGTATATTAAATATATAGATAATATAATATATACTCTATCAGCAGCAACTATTAGGTAAATCTTCAAAATTAAAATTAAAAATTTTTTTTAATTAATGAAAAAACGCGTTTTTACTAATTTTACAATATTTTATAAAGTATTCCACATCAAATATAACAATACGCCTAAAATAACGATAACAATAATAATCATGAAATATATTAAAATAAATTCAAAACCTAAGGATGATAATAATAAAGAAAATCACGATCCTATAAAAAAACCATATTATGATAATAATAATAATGATGTATTTTTCTCGTCGTGTAAAAGGAAGAAATCACAAACTTCACTAAAAAAATCATTAAGGAAACCACTTGTTGAAATATTTATAAATAGAAGATGTGATGAAATTATGATAAATGAGGTAAAAAAACTTTATTTATTTATTTTAGATTTTTTTTTTTTTTAAAAATTAATAATTAATTTCTTTTTAATAATCAATAGTAATATTATTATCATAATAACAACAATTATATAATAATAATGTATTTAATAATATACACACACACAATTAATTTCACGAGAAAATAAAAAAATATTGTCATAACTTATCAAATGCATATACTATATATGAGCATTTATAAAAATAGAACAGAAGAATCTTCAATCTTTTAATGTTATTATTAATTAATTCATTAAATAATCAAACATTGTCCGAAGTTAAGGATCGATTAATTAAATTATCTTAATTGCATTCAAAACTTAAGTGCAAGATAAGTTATCTAGTTAGTCCCACAACGTTTTTTATTACCTTGAAATATATGTATGTTGGGCGCGCTCGTGGTATGCGCAAATTTCTTGCCCAAAATGTACTGGGAAAAATATTATTTCACGTGATAACACTGAAATATCGTGTTTTCACGTGATATTTTTTCTCCACAAAGAATTATCCAACGCAAAATTTCAAAGTTGATTCTCATTGACTTACGTGTATATTGCGTCATCTAAAGACATCAAATGTTGGCCATGTGCTAAATTTGAGAAAAAATTCAAATCTCAAAAATAGGAGAGTTATGTTCAAAATGCAATAATATTTACCGTCATCCCATGAAATCACATAACCCAACCAGGATCATCACTAAAAAATTAATACTTATATTAATTATTATAATATGCATAGGACCCGGAAACTTCTAATCGAGGGCTAAAGGTAAAAAATGTTATTGGGTAATAAGCTCGAAATCTTTACTAAAAAGTACAAGATGTGCAACACCACGTGGGTATGTCGATTTCGCAATCAGCCAATGGATCTTAATACATACTCAAACCGCCTGGTCTTGCATATATTAATATATACTAGTGGAATTTTATATATTTCATGGAATAATTACATTACAAATGAATATAGTAAATAGCAGGCCACGTTATTTGATTTTATAGAAAGAATGGAAGCGACCAAATTTTAATTTTTCAAAGTAAAATTTATTAATAAAACTCTATTACACTATTGCTTGTGTGTAGATTGCAAAAATAGAGTTATTTTTGTAATTTTATATATGGTTTTGTTCCTTAACATTTTAAAGATCAGCAATTTATTTGATGCTGTTAGATATAATCATTAATTGCTTATAATAACAATTGGTCAACTTCAAAAGACTAAAACAAAAAATTCCGAATTTTGTTATACACTTAAGAAATTGAGACAAGTAAATTTCGTGTAACAAATTTTTTTCATAGAATATTTTTTACAACATGCATTTGATTTATTTGACTTATTTATTTCCTTTTTTTTTATTAATAAATAAAAGTTCTTTACAACAAAAAAGTTTAACGAACATATTACATCAAAAGAAAATCCTTACCAAATTTGGTCGTAAGATTCAAAATATTGTTGCACTTCTGAGCATAACTTTCAAATTTAAAAAATCTATGAAAAGAAAATTTGAGACAAATTTTTTTAATAGACTCCCTTTTTAAAGCTGAATTGAATGGTGGCAAGTTTTTTAAAATCCAATGTGTGGATCACATAATATTTCAAAAATTTTAACTTTTGAGTATAAATGATCCGCACTGTACCATCTGCTTGTTTTATTATTAATAAATGAAAGAAATGCAAGTTTTTTAAAACTAAAGGTCTTAATTTATTATTATGATTTTGAAATTGTTCAAACCTGACTGGTCATTGTTAGTCATAATGATTGCAATAGGTGATTGTAATGATTTGTCAAATGTATTTGTTTCTATCTTTTAAAAAAATGAAAATGGATATAGTTGGCAAAAAAAATAAAATGAACAATAATATACAAAAAATTTTATTAAAACTTACAATGGGCTCTACAACATCTTCAGATCATTATAATTGATATAATCATTAAAGTTATATTCTCAAAACTTTATAAGTGCATTTATTTAATAAACTTTCTTATAAGATCAAAAGATTGCTTACCAAAAGCTTCCGTGTCATCAACATTTGATCTATCCTTCAAAATATCTATAAAATTATTTAATGCAATGTCTATTGAAGCTACTGCCTCCTCCTCTTCTGCAATTGTGTTATCAACCATCTCTCTTTCGATTCCATAAAACTCTCCTAATTCATATATTGCCTTGTTTCTTGTCACAACAATCTCCTCCTGCCTGGGATTAAAGAAAATTATCAAATCAAAATTTACTAAAAACAAAAGATTGGTCTTGTATATTTGAAAAAGAATAAAATTAATTTACTTACACTTGTTAAAAAAAGTGACGATTCAATTAAATTATTATATCAATTGAAAAGTAAATACAAAGTTTATTCCAATTGCTCAAATACATAAATTAATTAATATTTTTCTAATAATACTTACATGTTTGCATCAACATCATGAATGATTCTAACAAAAATCAATTTTTTGCAAATATTCAAAGTTAATTTATTTAAGGGTAGGGGGGATCACATGGTAAATTAAATAGTAAACTAGAATGACAACACTTACTTGGGTATTGTTGCCTCTGCAACGTTATTAATTTGTTTTCTTTTTGATAAATTCTTTAATCTCAAAGACATTGCTCTTTTTTAGTTAATTCTTTTAATGGACAAAAGATAGCAGAGAAATTAAAGAATTGATTCAGGATAAAATTTGTGTTAATAAAATCTTTATGTCTGGATTCCTTGACAAATAGTTATGAATAATAATTTCACGTGTTAGTTATGTATATATATACATAGGCAACCCCGTTAATCCAAACCCCATTAATCCGAAAACCCTGTTAAAATGAATAATTTTTAAAACACCAAAGCCAAACATATGTAAATTACCCCGTTAATCCGAATGTCACTAATATAGCTCTATAAACCGTAAACCGAAGAAATTTTTAAATTTTTTGAAGCCATTTATATGTAAAATT